GGTGCTGAGTCTGTAGCCGAGCTATGGCAGAGTGGATAGTGTCACATGCAGCTGTGGGGTTAGCAGAGGGGGAACATAAACAGCCACCAAGATGACGTGAGAGAATTCCCTGGGTAAATAATACGGCCTGAGTCCAACAGCACACAGTTCAGTGTCCGGGCAACAAATCCTTTCTTTGATTGTTATGTTGGCAGGGTTACACCACCGGTTGTTAACTAAAACAGCAAGCCCACCTCCTTTACGCTTACCGCTAGCGATGCTGTCCCTGTCCGCCCGAACAGTGTGGAAGCCTTCCACGGAAGCATTCTCATCGGGAATGACCTGGTGCAGCCATGATTCGGTGAAACACATCAGGCTACACTCTCGGTATTCCCTCTGACTCCGTACCAGTGCTGAGAGCTCGTCGATTTTACTTGCCAACGATCGCACATTTCCCATCACGATAGACGGCAGACACGGTTTAAACCTCCTCCTCGCTTCGAGCCTCCGCTGTCTCACCGTCACCTTTTTTCTTCTCTTCTGTCCTTGACCTCTGCATCCCCGATGTGTTTTCCTCCAAATTTCAGCTGGTACTTCTGCGGGCACTTCTGCGGGCCTGGCCAGCGAGCCGGCCGGCATCAGGGCGATCAGCTGATCTCTGGAGTAAACAGTCCGTGCGTGTAGGAGATGTGCCGCGGTCCCGTTCCATGATAAAAGTAACAGTTCCACGGCCACCAGAAGAACAAAAACTCTCTCAATCCACATGATTGAGTAAGAGATAGAAAACGGAGGAAAATACAAGTCAGAAAAAAAAAGAATACGTAAGAAAAAAGAGCTAAACTAAGAGAAAAGCAGGAGCGACTGTAACAGGCTGCACGCTGGTTGGCGCATGCGCACTCTACATTGTCATGTTGGAAGACCCAGCCTCGTTTCATCTTCAAAGTTCTCACTGATGGAAGGAGGTTTTGGCTCAAAATCTCACGATACATGGCCCCATTCATTCTGTCCTTAACACGGATCAGTCGTCCTGTCCCCTTGGCAGAAAAACAGCCCCATAGCATGATGTTTCCACCCCCATGCTTCACAGTAGGTATGGTGTTCTTGGGATGCAACTCAGTATTCTTCTTCCTCCAAACACGACGAGTTGAGTTTATACCAAAAAGTTCTACTTTGGTTTCATCTGACCACATGACATTCTCCCAATCCTCTGCTGTATCATCCATGTGCTCTCTGGCAAACTTCAGACGGGCCTGGACATGCACTGGCTTCAGCAGCGGAACACGTCTGGCACTGCGGGATTTGATTCCCTGCCGTTGTAGTGTGTTACTGATGGTGACCTTTGTTACTTTGGTCCCAGCTCTCTGCAGGTCATTCACCAGGTCCCCCCGTGTGGTTCTGGGATCTTTGCTCACCGTTCTCATGATCATTTTGACCCCACGGGATGAGATCTTGTGTGGAGCCCCAGATCGAGGGAGATTATCAGTGGTCTTGTATGTCTTCCATTTTCTGATGATTGCTCCCACAGTTGATTTTTTCACACCAAGCTGCTTGCCTATTGTAGATTCACTCTTCCCAGTCTCGTGCAGGTCTACAATACTTTTCCTGGTGTCCTTCGAAAGCTCTTTGGTCTTGGTCTTGGCCATGGCGGAGTTTGGAGTCTGACTGTTTGAGGCTGTAGACAGGTGTCTTTTATACAGATGATGAGTTCAAACAGGTGCCATTCATACAGGTAACGAGTGGGGGACAGAAAAGCTTCTTACAGAAGACGTTACAGGTCTGTGAGAGCCAGAGATTTTCCTTGTTTGAGGTGACCAAATACTTATTTTCCACCCTAATTTATGAATAAATTCTTTACAAATCCTACCATGTGAATTCATGGATTTTTTTTTTCACATTCTGTCTCTCACAGTTGAAGTGTACCTCTGGTGCAAATTACTGACCTCTGTCATCATTTTAAGTGGGGGAACTTGCACAATCGGTGGCTGACTAAATACTTTTTTGCCCCACTGTACAAGGTATATATATATATATATATATTGGCTATATATATATATATGGCCAATTTCCATCATATATATCATATTTTCTGTGTAAATTCTCTGTGGTGCGTTTTTCCACTCTTTAATTTTATATCAAAAACTATCACTAGCAAGACAAATCTCATCTCATCTGGTGCAGTTAAGTAATGATAGTATAGCCACAATTGCCAGGAGAATGTTAATCCCTTCTCCTTTCTGTTTCATAACCCGAATAACGGATTTCATTGCCCTCATAACTATAGAGGGAGGCTTAGCTCATTATTGGCCATAATCCAGTCTGAGAGTTCTCCCAATTGGCGGCGCAATAACAAATCAGTATTGTCCTTGGTATAGAGAAGGTGGAGATGTTAACAAAATCATTGCAATGGAGAAAAAAAACAATTTCTGGCTGAAAGGTAACACTGCACAGGACTACAGGGTACAAGGCTGTAGTGGAGTGTCCCTGTTTAAGTCCCTGTTTAATTTTGCTTGATCACCACTGCTTTATCTAAAATATTCATTAAGTCAAGAGGTAAAGCTCTAAGATTTAAATATTATTAATGCACCTTGATCTCACTGTTTCACCAAAAGTTATCATTAGATCTTATCTCTACAAATATACCATGCATTAAATGACATTAAAAGACACATTACGGCAAGAAGTCACTGGATACAGTTGTACATATCATAAAACTGTGGTGATTAACTGTTTCATGTAGTGTCACATGCAGAAATTCAATTTTTCCACAACATAGTCTCTGCAATCTAACTCCTGTCAAGATCTCATACTGAGTACAGAGGTGATGACTTTAAAGGCCATAGCATATGGATTACATCATTTTTATACCCATCAATTATGGTGGCATTGCCATCCTGTAAGAGCCCACTTTAAGTAGGATAGAGATGTTTCATTATGCAATGATCACTTAGAATAACTTTGGAATTACTCTTCCCTTTAAAGAAAAGGCTGGACTCCAATCATCAAATGCCCCACCGCAGCATAACAGAAACACCTGATTCCCACAATGATTGTTAATTTTTCCATTTAACTTTTCACCTGCTTATATAAATTGGATTATGTAAACTATAAAAACCATTCATCACAAACAGCAGTTACCACCATAGTCTTACAGCTGAGTTTGACAGTCTTCATTTGGAAAAACATGTTTAGTAAACAGATTTTTGTAAAACACACACAAATATAGCATTTGCCATTGTGTGGTTTCAATTAAAAGATGCTAGACAGACTGTGGAGTGTGCCCATCAACAACAGCATCCACTCTTCACAACTGCCAAATGTCTAAATAACCACCCACTTCTGATATTTACTAAAATTGCTTCTTTTTTTTAATGTTCCTGAATATAATTTTAACACTCCTTTCATGCATTTCTGGAACTAAATCATTGAATTAAACTCTTCAGTCAAACGTCTGCTTTTGTGCGACTGAAGTTCATTTTTATTCTGCGGGAATTCAGTTTCAACCATTTTGTTTTTTATAGTATTTACTTGCTAATAGGTGATTTAATTGCTCTAAACACTCGGTATCTTTCAGAAACACATTTCACTACTGCCCAGCACCCACATCCTTGAACAATGACAAGCTTTCAGAGAGGACAGAATTAAAATTCAAAGGCAAGGCGGTTCATTTTAGTTCCAGGAACCCCTGTGCAAAAACACTTGACTGATTTTAATCACATTCTTATTTATTTCAGCTTAGAGCTTGACATGACTTTTTAAAACCCAGTGTTGATTTTCACTTTATTTTCACAGTGTAACAGCACCATCTAGCAGGTTTCTTTAGGAATTAGTGTTGCTCACTGAAGCTATTAGACACGCTCAATCTAAAAGCCTTGCCTTCACGGCACTGCTGGAATAGTAAACATTTATTTGAAGAATAGGCTTTTACTAAGAGTACTTTATCTCCCTGTCTGCTGTGCAATCACATTGACTCAGGATTACTGTCTACATGTGTCTCCACCGCTCGGCTATAAGGCTGCAAAAACAGAAGGAATGACTCATGGAATATGATTGGCGTTTGGCAAATACCACAAAATCTCTGTCTGAGAGTCGCCGCATTACTCTTCCCATAAACAGAAATTAGAGTATAAACAGAATTTGCATTAAAAAGGTTTGCATTTTCTGAGGAAAATTACCTTACTCATCAGATACAATGCAGTGGCACAGTCTGTGTTTGTTTGAATTTAAAACAAGCACATTATTACACAAAAAATGAGCCCTTTAACTTATATGAACAGAACTGCCACAAAGCAATTATGAAGCATTTGTTGAGAATAAAAGATTTGATATGATAAAGTTCTCGTCCTCCTGAAACCCATTGTTTTAAAAATTGTGCTTAGGTACAATGAGACTATTCAAACAGAAGCTGCAGGTGTGAACCTCAGTAGTAACAGAAACAATAAACACTATTTCTGCGCTTCACCTCATTATATATACTCAAGTGCATTAAAATGCAAATGCATGCTTAAGCTGCTTTAACAAACACAAAGCCTGCACAGTGCCCTTATTACTTTGTGACTGTGGGATCTTTTCTTTCACGTCACATTAATGAAGCCATTTATATTAGTGACAAATACGATCATCCTTCTCTCCTTCTTACCTCTTTATTAACTCCATTTGCAGCTGGTGTTTAGTGTACTGGGGTGTGTGTGTGTGTGTGTGTGTGTGTGTGTGTGTGTGTGTGTGTGTGTGTGTGTGTGTGTGTGTGTGTGTCATTAAAAATGTATAACATCTCTCCAAACAGTGTCCTGACAAGCCACTCATGCTCATTGGATATCAGTCATTAAAATTTAGCGGAAAGGCAAAGCATGGCCTAGGCAGCTATCAGGTTACTCATTCAGGCTACGGATGAATTTTTCAAAGTCCTCTTACCTCTACAGGCACCGCTGCTGATGTCTCAAGGCTGTGCGCTCTGACATTGCCGTTGTGCGTTTCTGCCGTTATTGTAGCTGGGGTGTGACAAAAGCCAAATCAGCAATAACAACATGACTCTCAGGGTGACTATACTGATTCATTTAGTACTGCTCTTTGACAAGGCTGATTCTAAAAAAGGTGAGTTGCCATTCTTTATCTTGATGGAGCAATGCTTAAATTTCATGGGAGTGCTTTATCTTGCAGGTACTGTATATAGAGAGAATGGTGGGATCCAATTGTTCAATGTCAGCTTGTAATACACTTTCACGGTGAACCATGACTTCTTTCTCTGAACTGAAATGAAATGTTTTTTCTGTTTTGTTTTGTTTATTTTTTGTCATTATAAGGAGTCAAATGTGGAGGAATCCTCTCTGCTCCATCTGGCAATTTCTCCAGCCCAAACTTCCCAGGCCTATACCCCTACAACACACACTGTTCCTGGCTAATTGTGGTAGCAGAGGGCTCCTCTGTCCTCCTCACTTTCCACTACTTTGAGCTGGAGTACCACGCAAGCTGTGCTTATGATTACATTAAAATATACAATGGCATATCTGAGGATGAAGGGAACCTCCTCGGGACATTTTGTGGGGACATCTCTCCACCTCAATTCACCTCTTCTTGGAATGTCATGTCCATCATCTTTCATTCAGACCGCCATGTGGCCTACAGGGGCTTCACTGTTGGCTACAGAAAAGGTAGCTTGTTACACTTAATGCAATGTGACAGGGATAGTTGGCCAAAACTTGAGTTGATTTTGTCCGGCCATGTTTAGACAGTTTAAGTCGTGTCTTGTAAGTGAAATTTCTTGGTTTTGACCTCACTTAAATATTGTATATTATATTCAATTAGAGCTCATACGGATCCTAGTGGCTGCGTAGATGAGGCAAATTTCACAAAACCATAATGCTCACAGTGAAAATATTATCGTGTTTACAATTTAGTTACTGTTTTATTTTCTAAAAGTTGCAGAACTATTAGCATGACTAGAAATGCCTGAATTGTTGCCTAAACTTTGGACTAACAGTTAGCTATAAAAATGCAGCACACTGAATAGAAAGCGTGCATGTGATTTCCAATGCAAATCTAAATCTGCATTTTTTCTTCTCTAGATATGTGTGGTGGAGTCCTGACTGGACTATCTGGAGTAATTTCTAGCCCAGGCTACCCCCAGGAGTATAGCAACAATGCCGACTGCTCTTGGGCCATCCATGTGTCTAACACAACTGTGGTCACCTTGGTGTTTTTGGACTTCCAGCTGGAAAACAATGAAGGATGTAACTTTGACTTTGTAGCCCTGTTTGACGGCCCAACAGTCACCCACCGGCATCTGGGTAAATACTGTGGGACAGATAAACCCCCCAACATCATCACTACTTCCAACCAACTTCTCGTAGTCTTCAAGTCTGACTTCAACATTGGGGGACGTGGGTTCAAGGCCTACTATTATTCAGGTAGGTGAATTTGATTTCGGCTTTCTCACATCAATATGCAAAGTCCTTTTGTATTTTTTCTCCTTGAGTGTTCATGTTTTTGGTGTAAATGCAGAAACCTAAAGGTAATTTTTTTTCAATTATCAACAATTTGACATTCGACCTAAAGCAAATTATGTTTAAAAACTTCTGTTCACTCACAGAACAGAAAATCTATCTTGAAACCCACAAAAAAATCTATTTCAAAAAGCTAAAGATCAACAGGGAACATTTTGTGAGAATGTTGGATTTTAAAAAACAGAGAACAATGGATTTTATTATTGGCTAAAGGTATTGCAGCTCGACTGAAACAAGCCACAGGAGATATCAAGAGCATGAAACAATATACCCTAACAATCTGATCAAATAGAAGCATTTCAGTTGCAAAGAAAAAAATCCTCTTTCATAGAAACTGGGTAAACACCACCATCATAAACACAAATGTGAAGGTCCTTGACTGGTCTAGGGACACTCGAGTTCAGTCGAAACTGCAGAGTAACTTTTAGAAAGCTGCTCACAGACTGTGCCCATTTGACCTTGTTGAGCATAAGCCAGCTGGCAAAAAGGATAAAAAAAAAAAAAAACTTGAAGAGACACCTGTATAAATGCCATTTATAACCCCCAGCCCATCACAGATCTAACACAGAGAGGCAGACAACCACACACTCTAATAGTCACACACGCAGCCAATTTACAGTCACTGATTAAATCAGTCATATAAACATGTCTTTGGTCTGTGGGAGTTAAACAGAACATCTGGAGGAGGCTCTGGTAATGTCATTTGCCCATTTAAAATTTATTTGCCAGACACAGTGACCAGGATCTTAAACATAAACTTTTAATCCGAGACTTACATGAGGCTGCATGGAGAGGATGAAGTACAAAAAAAGCCAATCATAAAATGAACGCAGTGCAGCAAGCTAACATCTGCAATCCAAATGACTATCTGATTGGCTGTACTTTAATAGGTGAGTGCCAGCAGGTGCTGTCTCATGTGAGTGGCAACTTTAGCAGCCCAAATTTCCCCAACATCTACCCAAACAACATTAACTGCCACTGGAGCATCACTCTAGCCGCAGGCTACCGCATCAAACTCTTCTTCCCCTTAATGGACTTGGAGGACCGCAACAGTTTATCAGATGAGTGCGACTATGACTCTGTCGCAGTTTATGATGGGAATAGCCAGACGGACGCTCTGATGGGACGCTGGTGTGGCAGGGAGCATCCTTCTTCTCTCGTCTCAAAGGGCAACAAGTTGCTGGTCGTGCTCAGCACAGACAGAAATGAAGCACACAGAGGATTCACCGCTTCTTATCAGGGAGGTAAATATTCCTTGTACAGGCGTATGATTAACTTCTAAAATATCTTTTTGTTAACTTTTTCCATATCATTCTTATGCTGCTCTTAAAAAGTGTGATTTTTTTTCCTCAATCCAAGTGGTGCCTGTAAATGTTAGCTGCACAAGATCAGAATTCACCATTGTGATACCCCAGCAGTCCTTACCTCAGCTGGACCGTGAGAGCATCTACTTAGGAAACCCGACCTGTACAGCGCAGTTAACGACCACTTCATACAAGATAGTGGCTCAGTTTGTCGACTGTGGTACTGCCAGCCAGGTGACTAACATGTTCTCATTTACTGGCACACTATAATAGGCAGCAATTTGCCCTATTTAAACTGCTAAACAATTGTTGCAGACACTTGCGACTTGCTTCTATTAATACTGTATCTAATGATCCCTTACAGAAACATCGGAACATCACCATGCTTGTAAACAAACTCTACATTGATTTCTCTGATGGGAAGCAGGAAAATGTACAAGAATATAAATTGCAGTGCGATGCCCTGCGGAAAATAGCATCAGTGTCCATCATTTCTGCAGAGGAGCGTCGTCTGGAGGAGCAGGCCCAGCAAACTGACAATGGTAGCAGTGGCAGTGAAGGGGATCCAGAAGCTGAGCCTCATGATTTGAGCGATATTGTCTTTATTAGCATTTGTGTTCTGGCTGTTATTCTCATGGTTATAGCTATTGTTTGGCTAGTGCTTCTTTAGATATATATATATATATATATATATATATATGTGATTATATTAGCTCTTCTTCATCAAAGACAGGACTCCAGTGCTTAAGTTGTCATGCTTTAAATCATGTTTCGTATAAAAATGTTCATTTACAAGACAAAAAAACAATGCACCTGTTGAAAAAGAATGCCTACATTATTACATTACAAAAAGGAATAGCATTAATATCATCACCTACAGTATTCTTTACAATGATTCATGTGCAGTTGCAAAAAGTGCTAGGCTACTGATGTGCCACAAAAAGATTTTTTTTAAACTTCTTTACAGAAAATCAAGAAAACAATAAAAATAAAATGTAAAAAAATGTGTGCATAAAATCCTTCTCCAATTGTATTAAAACTATTTTCCATATACAGCTGGCTCTACATAGTTTATTATTCTGTTATTTTTTGTATTTAGAGACCAGCTTGTTGACTGCTATTGTGCTGTTCTTCACCTGAGCTCTGACCTCAGGGTTGTGTTTGAAGGCAAACACAAGTGCTCTAACAGTCCGTCTGTATGAAGTGCTGACCAGTCGGGAGCTCTGGTGAAACACTTCCCTCTCGATGTTGTCTATAAGACCAGAATCTTCCTGTAGGTGAAAGATGAACAGAAATATTTCAGGAATGAGTCAGACAGACAACAAGTAGCTGTAAGATGAACAAGCATTCAGATACTTCTTATAAAGAACATGCCAGTGCTGGGAATGGAATATTTTAAATTAATAAATGTGCATAAGTTAAAATACACTCGTAAACAGCGATCAATAAATCATATATGCTGATTTTCAGGCTTACATTCAACATGTAACATGATAAGGAAGGAAACGGGAAGAAACGAAAATAATAAAAAAAATAAATCTTTCTAAAGCCATGTTTCACGATTGCCCTGAGATTCTCCATCTTACCTTGACCTCTAGTGCTTCAGACATGAGCCTTCTAGCGTTGCTCCTGAGTCCTTCAGACTGTTTGTCCGAGCGCACTTCAATGGATGGCTTATTGGAATTCTCCTCGATGAACGTCCTCCAGTCCGTGTAAACCTTTGCTGCCATTGAACTTACTTCGGGATCCAGATGCTTTCGCATTTTGTTGACAGTGTGACCTTAGCAGAGAGATGTTTTGATTACGTATGTGAATATTGTGAATTTGACTGGCCTGGCATTTATGAGGAGAACACTGTTTTAATGAGTGGTTTGCTCTTCAGAGTTATAATTCTCATGTAATAAGAGAGTAAAAGCAAACTCAGCTCACATGTAAGCTGTTATTCGTGTTATAAAGGTTGGTTGTGCAATCTTTGAACTAAAATGGAAACTTAAATGACTTTCTAACGACAGCCCATCTGTATAAAGAGTTATTAAAAATTGTGTTTACCTATTTTCGTGGACTTGAGCACCTCCTTGGAAGGGACCTTCTTACTCAGCTCTTTCAGGGCAGTCAGCAGGTTGTCTTTGCTCTGTTCTGGCAGCTCCAGCATTGACTTGTAACGCATGATGTCCTCAATAACAACCACTCGCTTTACGAAACACAAAAGGCAAGCAATTACTACATAAATGCGTTAACACACAATACATGCATGCCTAATGTCTTACCCGTAGAGATTCAATTGTAGTCTGTTTGTACACCTTTTCGTCTGTCTTCGATTTTTTAGGTGCGTCTCCCTTAGGAAGCCGCACTACAAACTTGTCCATGTTCAAAGGCAAGCCAGGAAGCTTCTTTGTAGAAAGAATGAGATTGACAAATTTTAATACAACAGTTTGACTAAAAAGAAGCCGATTTCCTACGTGGTTCAGCTAACAGCTACTTTCTGCCTTTCGGGTAACGTTGTCTAACTCAAGCCAAATTTAACTGAATAAATGCTTTGCCAGTGTTAATTATGTAATTCCGCTATAGTCTACTAAAGGATAGCTCCATATTATCGCTACAACTGCGATAAATAATCTCTTTGATAGAGCTAACAGTAGCTGGATGGCTATGGTAAATAATGGCAGTGGCAATGTTGCCTTTACGTACACTCGGAAACAATGAATCTCTTCAGCAGATTAGAAAGATGTGGAAGCCCTCGTGTACAAAATTTCAGTAAATAAATGACCAACGTTTTTGTATAATATGAATATTAATTTTAAAGTAATATAATACTATTATTATATTAGTATCATCGCTGGTATTCTCAGTAAAATGTCTTTTGAATAATTTGGCCTTATCTTCCTCTCTGACTTTTCGGATATCAGTCTTTTTTTTTATTTATTATTTTTGCTTCGGAAAACAATACAAATGAACACATTGATTTTTTTTCCACTATTTATTGTTTGATTATTGTTACTGTTAGGATTTTAGGTTTTTTTTAGTCAAAATATTATTGTTGAGTATTTGTGGATATAGTTTACAAAGAAAAAAAAGAAGACGGAAAACACAAACTGTTTACATTGAATACAAAACAGAACTTCTCATGTTGGAACATTGTTTTCCAAACAAGATTTTAGGGTTTTTAAACTTAGCAAACCTTAAATTTAGCAAACTCTGAAAAAAGTCTCGCGCGAGATAAAGTTCCCGCGAGAACACAACCCGATAAGGAGAACGAGGAAGAGGATCGTGTTATTTGTTTAGGTTTTGGCAGGCGAAATGGGGTCTCTTTCCTCAATTGTCTGCACTTTGGGACTCGCCGTCCTGTTCGCAGGCACCTTAGTATCTTCAGATGTATTTGACAGCGTCTTGGGAAACACTGCGTCCTGCCATAAATCATGTGAAATGACATACAGTTTGCATACCTATCCTCGGGTAAGTTGTCATATTGAAAAGGAAAGCGACTGCTGCTACCATTAGCTAGCTTTTGCGTTTAATAAGTGGACAAGCGTGTGTTTTTTCCTTTTTTGCAATGCATTTTTCTTCAGCGAATATTGTTTGTGAAGGACAAGTTTTGAAAGTGCGTCATCTTTCAGCTGGATATCCTTGTTTGTCGAGTCATTCAACTGGTCCTCCCGTTTGTTTTTTATTGTACAGGAGGAAGAACTATATGCCTGTCAGAGAGGCTGCCGCCTGTTCTCCATTTGTCAGTTTGTCCGTGACAGCGAAGATTTAAATCAGACCAAATCCGAGTGTGAATCAAGTAAGCTATGCACTGACCCAGTTAATTCACAGCTGTGCTGTCGAAGAGGTTTGCTAACTAATTACGTGCTATGCTCGTAACAATAAAGTATTTCTTACAATCTGCTTCCGTTTTAATACATCCAGTTCCATGGTGTAAGCTTGCTCTAGAGACTCTTTGTTCTGTATCCACAATCCAGTTTGATCTGTTGGCTCTATCATCTATTATCGCTCACCTCTTTCAAACTTCTGCAGCCTGTCACGAAGCCTACACCCAGTCTGATGAGCAGTATGCATGCAACCTGGGCTGTCAGAATCAGCTCCCCTTCGCTGAGCAGCGAAATAAGCAGGTATGACTGTGTATAACGCATTCACGCAGTGGCTTCCACAGAACCATCTGCAGTATTAGTAGTTTTTTTCATAGTTAGTTCAGATTCAGTGAATGCATTTAACTAAAGTTTAAATGCAGAGACTTGAAATTGCTTTTGCAACTTTACTGTAGGGATGGCTTTGGTACTGGAGCATGCAGCTTTCATTTAGGTCAGCTGTTTGATCTCTCTTGATTCTGTATTTGTTGCATTTCAGCTCCCACTTTTAAAATAATCCTTTGTTCAATATGTTTGTTTGTTTTTTTTCCCCCAGTTGGAGAGCATGATGCCTAAGATTCACCTTCTGTACCCATTGACTTTGGTCCGAGGTTTCTGGGATGATGTAATGAGTCAGGCCCACAGCTTCATCACTTCCACATGGACTTTTTACCTCCAGGCTGATGATGGCAAAGTCATCATTTGCCAGGTAAGTAAAAGAAAACCAACCCCCTAATCTACCAGATGCAAAACAATGCACTTCACCCTGGTAATGTGCAAATGTAATGGAGCAAAATGACTAGGAAAAATAAATGAATAAAAATCTGCCCTATATTTAACAGGCTGTACCTGAAATCAAGTTCTTCTCCCAGTTTGAACTGGAAAAATATGTTAAAGAGGAACCTCAGAAGAGCTGTAAGAGTTTCATTCATCCTCTTAAAAAAATAAATAAAGTAATTAGTTAAGGACGAAAGTAGTTTTGATCTCAAAGAATGTGTTAGGTTAAGGCAGACATCACTGAATATCTTTCTGAGTTTGGTTTCTTGTTTTCAAGTTCCTGGACTGAGCAGCCCTGTATTTAAGGACTACGAACGCACTTTAATCCAGGAGAGGGACAGAGACATGGCTGGGGACCACACCTATAATGACGAATACAATCTTTTCAGCTCTCTCTCAAGGTTGGTTAGCACATTTCTGTCTACATTGTCCAAGAGGTGCTGTTACTTAACTTGAACAGGATATTAATGGTATTGAGGGTCTTGCCTTTGTGCAGCTACATAACCTTGATACTTATCCTTTACTCCTCAGGAATCCTTGGCTACCGGGGTGGATCCTTACCACAACTCTGGTCCTGTCTGTTTTTGTCCTGATCTGGATCTGCTGTGCCACTGTGGCAACTGCTGTGGATCAGTATGTACCTGCTGAGGTATGATATCTGTTCTTGTTTGATTAAGTGGTTTACAGCAGTTTGTTTAGCACACAAGCTTAATCTGGGCGTATCTGCTATGTGTGAATTTAGTTGCTGTAGTTCTGTTTTTATACTCCGTATAAATTATTTTTAAATGGATAATTGCTTATTGTGCTGTTGCAAAGTTAAATAAGAAACTTGGTTCCACTTTCCCATCTGCATAGTAATTATGAAGCTACAGCTACGAGGTGACTAGCATATCTTGGCACAAAGGTTGGAAATGCCAGTCTTGTCCAAAATCACCCAACCAGTATTTCTAAAATGAGGATTCTCAAATTATGCCCTTTCCAGAGCCCTCTGCAGAGTAATTGCACAAATCTACATGTCATTCATATGTAATAAATCCCATTATAATGTGGCAGCACAGAATGATACCAAAGGACTATTTCTTTGTTTCCAACTCGTCTTTATGCTTTATATGTGTGCCAGTCCTTTGTGGAGTCTTCAAGGAGCTACGTGGACCTTTATCCTCATGTTATAGCAGTGTACTGTCACCAGGGGGCAGCATCAAAATATTTTGTCTCCAACGACAGCTGGTGGCAGAGCTGCAGAGAACACAGAAATCATAACAGACAAATGGCTTCTTTACAGTGAAGAGAAACACTGTTTAAAAACAAGAAAATATGATATCCACTTCTGCTTAATTCAGTTTCTTATGCATACTTTTTCATACAGTGTATATACACTTCTTCCATTTTGTGCCAAATGCCACTGTTGCTCCCTTCAAGCAGATGTTTCAGCCAGTCAGTATTCTGCCTGCGCGTACCATCATTGTGTGTTTTAGAGAAGTGCATGCAAGCATGTCTGCATTGGTCGCATACTCAAAATGCTTCACTCTGTATCACCAAAGACTGGTCTCAAGAAATGTAATAGCCACCTTACTAGACTAACACGGGCAAAAAAGTGACTGAATGAACAGAATACCAGCAAAAATACCAGACAAAGGGCACCTTACAAATAGCGGGTGGGCTTGGTGTGTGCATTTGGGCTGAAGTTATTTCCTGAACAGTCATTTTGACACTTCTGGTTTATATATAGACCAAACAATATGGAAGCTTTAGAGATCGTGGCTGGCAAAAATGTTTTTTAAAGAATTCCTTGAATAATGAGGTTTGTGTTGACAGGAAAAAAAAGAATCATCAAAACGATGTTTAAAAAAAAATTTCTTTTTTTTTTTTTTTTTTTTTCTTTCAGAAATTAAGCATCTATGGAGACAGTGACTACATTAAAGAACAGAAACTGATTCCATATCCAGCATCCTCCCTGCTGATCATCACCTCCAATGGATCAGAAGAGGAGGCTGGACCACTCCCTTCCAAAGTGAACCTAGGGCAGTCTAACATCTAGAACCCAAAGGGGGTTATTCTCTTTTATGTATAATCTCAAGTTGATTTTTATCCTTTGGCTTAAGACCTGTCCTGATTGTAGTCTTAAGTCACTACTTTCAGAGTCTCACTACTTGCAGAACTTTTTTTTTCCACCCCTATTTTTTTATTTTTTCTCTTTTTGCCTCCTGTCAATCGTAGCTTTTAAAGTTGGAGTGATAGTTTTTCTGTATATTGGCATAATTGAGGCATTATAGCACAGTGACAGCAGTACAAGTCAACTAGGTTTTGGGGGGTTTATTGCAATTTTGGTGTGCATTAGCTCTCTATTCGTGTGCTTACTTTATTGAATGTTTAAATTAACTCTTTGTGACTTGAAGTGATGCAAGTTTCTTCCAAACCGTTAACTTTTGATAAAATAGGTTGCGGTGGTACTGCAGACTTACCCTGTTTGCTTTTATGTTTCTACTGGGGTGATAACCTAACGATATTGAATTTTACAGCAAAATTCTCTGCTCTTTATATAAATTGATAGTGATGGTACAAACAGTAAGTCCTTCCTGCTTAACTGTTGTCTCTTCTTATCATAAGTCAAATTAAATACAGAGTGAATCTAATGTCTGTTTTTTGTTCTTGAAGTTTAAAATGCCAACGTATGACTCCTATTGCAATAGATAATAGTTTGCAAAAGGAGTCGTAGAACTCTTGCTCAATGCCTTCACACAACTACACAGGTAGATTTTACTTTTTATTATACCACAGTAATTACATTTAACTGCAGTGGTCTAATTTGCATCTCTGACAGTACATTGTAGTGGGCACAATGTTGCCTTTTTATGTAGTGCAAGACATGCAAAACTTTCTTTTGATCGCTTATTGCTACACCTCACTGTTTTCTAGAATGGCTCTATAAAAACTCTGAGGCAAAACTGAGAGTAGCTAACACTTCCTGTGTTAGTGTTTATCTTCAATCTCTGCTATGAGGTTAAAAATTGTATGATGGGCCGCGTGTAAAGTAATGCGCCTTCACACAGCTTTACAACTGCAGAGGGGAAAAAAAAAACAGATACCAAGTTTATTTGAACATTTGCTTGTATGACTACTTTACCATTGGCCTCCTAAAGCAATTTTCTAGCTACCTGATGTTATAAACATTATAGAAAGACCTGTCAATAAAATGTCCTAGAAGACATCTCAAGAGACAATTACGTGGTGAATATAAGGGGAAAAATCATGACCAAATTTATCTGCTGCTCCCTCTCTGTGGAACATGTACCATTTTTCTACATTGAAAAATGACCATGCCTCCAGGTTTTCTGTGTGATAATTTGATTTTAGGGGGGGAACTGCACAGACTTGACACATCAAAGTCTGTTTACACGTCTGGGGCAGTATTTCTGCAGTTACATGAAAAAAGTTGGACAAAACCTTTTGTGGCATTAAAGAAATGTGTGCAACATCAATATAAATCGCCCGAAGTGATTTAAGTTGAATCAGCACCAGTCGCGCATGGACTTCCAAGTTTGAAAATGAAAGAAGAATCTAGGGTTGCTTAATTTGAAAGAAGTGGGTTTCCCAGACCGGTGAAGCCTTCTCATCATCTCTGCTTAAAGCCTGAAGTCATCACCCCCCACTGCCATAACAAACCAGAACCTTTGAGTTGAGTTGCACTGTGTAAAGTCCAGAAAAGTAAAGTTCTTGCTAGGACCCATGAGCAAAAATTTCTTCCAAACACATCCCCAAGATTAGGCCCAGGACAATAATCCACCTTGTCCTGTTTAAAGTTACTGTTGAACAATAAAATGGATAATAAAGAAGACGAATGCAAAAACAATACTTTATTGTTAAAAAATATACAAACCTTATCAATTTAATCCCAAAAGACATTTTTGTATTATAACCAGTGGAAACCATCTTCCTTCCCTTGAGTCTAAAGGCAACCTATTCATTGACATGTTCAAGTAGCTCTTCAACCTGCGTGCTAGTTTGGACGCATGCCTTAATAGCTGTTCAACAAGTCAATGTCCTCTGCAGTAAGAGTTGGTGAGGACGAACATTTTCCCGGAGGGCTTTCATTTGAAGTGTCACACGTTTCCGACTGAAGCCTCCTTTTTCTGGGATCATGGCAGGGATTCTCTAAGTCATTTGTCCTGGAGGGAACCTGTTTTTCTCTTACGTCATTGTTCGCCGGTCTGTAGAAATGGAGTCTCTCACTCTTATCCTCTTCCGTGCTCTTATGAGTCAGAGGTGTTGCATTCAGTACCGTTCTGACAAACTTCTGCCTGCCAACTACAGAAAAAACAAATTTTAAAAGTGTCCAATTATTTATTTAAAAATAGGCCATCGCTGTGTAAATATGAACTTACAAAAACGAAGTGCCGATGTTCTTGAGTCTTCAACTTTTTTCTGTTTTGGCATTAGTGAGCTATTCATTTCCCACTGGTTTACAACCTGAAAACATGCCAAACATTACTTCCTGACACTTGTTATTTAAAAAAACAAAAAAAACAAAAAACAGTTGTGATCAGAAGTTTAAATCCATTCATCATGGCATGAATTTCAGGTTATTCTGAGCTTTTAATTATTTATTTGAGCTGTAAAACAGAATATGTTTTTATAGCACTCATTGACTTGACCATCAGCAGAACAATGGGAAAGTCAATGAAGATATAAGAAGAATTGTGGATTTACAAAAGTTTCCAAGGTTTCTTGGAGCCATTTCTAAAGAACTGCAGATTCCAAGATCATCAGTTGAAACAATGGTGCTTTGATCAAACTGTCGCCCCCAGATGAAATTAAATTTGTTAAGATATTCAGGAACAACCCAGAAACTACCAATACCCAAGGCTGCCTTGAACTGGAAACGACTGTAACACCAGCATCACGGTCCACACTGAAGGAAGTTTTAAATGGCTATGGACCAAGACGGTGCTGACTAAGAAAGGAGGAGGACTGAATTTTGCTGCTCCCTACATGAACAAAACCAAATGCCATCTGGAGAATTTTTTTATGTTCAGACCACACAAAGATTGAACTATTTAGCCACAATGACAGGAGGTATGTTTGGAAAAATAAAGGTGAGGCTTTCAAACCCAAGAACACTGTATCAACTCTAAAGCATGGCAGTGGTAGCATTATGCTTTGAGTCTGTTTGCTGCCAGTGGTACTAGTACACTGCACAAAGTGGTTTAAATAATGAAGGAGCACTACCTCCAAAAGTCCACCTCAAATCAACAGCTAGACGGTTAAAGCTTGCAAACAACTGTGTTCCAACAGGACAATGTTCCCAAACACAAATCAAAATTGGTTTTGGTTGAGGTGCAACTTGCTAAGGGACATTTAACCAAATGTTGGTGAGGCTGTATGTATGAATGGAATACAGAAATTCCAGAATAAATTCAAACATGTACATGTTTTTTAAAGTTATTAAAGATGTGTACAATACAGTGATTCCACCTTGGGGGGGAAATATTTTACCATCATCATACCCATAATGAGTTTATGTAAACATCTGACCACTACTCTATTCTTCTATCAATGTCAAATCCGCATTTAAACATACTTACCTGTTCAGCCCAACCTTCTGTCTTGCATCTTGAGTGATCAAAGGCAGCCAGTGGTTTCTCAGAATAAATTAGTCCTAACAGGTTCGACATTGTTGCCTTCAATCCTGTGCCAAGCTAGAGGTATACATTACATTTAGATGTCAGTATAACAATGAGCCACAGATAAGTGTTACACACAACTATTGATGTTATACCTTCAAACTGGTTCCAGATACATCAAGATTTGCAAGTTTTGGGAGACATGTGAGGTATTCGAGAGCCCTCTCTGAGATATTGTTGTCTGGAAATGACAGATTATAGCTGATCAACAATTTTATAATGATGTGAGTTTTGAATACTTCAAATCTGGAGGGGATGGTATTTGTGCCATCACCATGAAATCAACTAATAGTTTGGTAACCAACAGGAAATATCCAGAAGCTGAAGACAGTCCAGTCCCTTGTGCATCATACGGATAGGTGCGGTCAGTCGTTGGAGGCCAGCATCTGACAGGCTGTTACTACCGATGAAAAGTTGAATCAGGCTCCTAGAGTGGGAAAAAAAATGTTAGCAACAGCTTTTATTAAATCTTTCATGTAATTTATTTAGGAATGCAATACCTTGCCAGTGAGGTGGATGTTAGATGTTGAAAAAGCTCATGATTGTCACCCAGTTTGCAGCCAAACAAATCCAGAGACTTCAAATTATGAAATGTTTTTATTTCATCCATTCGCTCGTGCAGAAGTGGAAACCTGCAGAAATAAAAGAGGAACAACAAATGCTAGCTGTCCGTGGTAAAGAAGAAAAGGAACCTCGCAGTTTTTTGGTGGCAGTCCGACTCACCTGTTTCGTAAACACAGTGATTCAAGTACCATGCTTCCATATGCATCACTGAATAACTGCAGGGCTTTTGAAGAAATTTCTGGGTTTAAGAATACACGATTTTCCTCAGCTGCTACAAAAAGTTTATCACCTATTTGCTCAGGGAAGCCAATCAGAGAGTCTACATGATGAATATTGTCAACTACAAACAACAAAGTGATGTCAAAGAGAGATTTTGTGGTATATCGCAGACTTCCCTCTTCATTGTAGGTGAATATAAAATGCTCTTTTCTGGGCACAAACGGATTTGTCCTTCTGCACGATAACGCTGGCTTTGGCTGTGCCAGGACTATGTCACTGACACGACGAAGACTTCCTCTTTCTCGGACATAAATGGTGCTATTGTCCATAGTAAGGTCGCACTATTAAGGGCTGCACGTTAAGTCAGCAAAAACTCGAAGTAGCTCACAAGCTAGCTATTAAATAGTATCATGTCCTTGGCTAAAATTAGTATAAAAGGACACCCAAACCCTGCAGTAAAACTCTTTTACTACTTTTTTGCTCCAAATATTTCACATTTTACGGCATTTGCTTTACTACTTGTATGCATTATGACAAATATTCCGGGTTTCCTACGGTAGCCGCGGTTCCTACAGTGCAAGCAAGTTACTGGCAGCTGTGCCTGCTCACTTCAAAGTAAAAGATGGTTAACAACGAATGCTTGTTTTTTTTAGGAACTTCTTACCAAATTGCGTATTCTAAGTAACAAGAATGTAATATGAGAAAACGTGTACATACTTTATAATGAACCTCTCAGGATCTCACCAAGTAGTAGTTTAAATGAAAAAAAAATCCAAACCCTTATTTTGAAAATGTTTAGGAAGAAGTCTTGTTTACATCCTTGATCGAGCCTGCTCCCGGAAGTGCCAACGTATACGGCAGAAATTAAGTGATTTTTATGGGTTTGGAAGGATAATTTGGTAATTGATTTTCCAAAGATGATAGCTAAAACATATTTTAAAAAGACTGATACTTTTAATGGTTGTTTTTCTGTCTTAATCAGATTTTACATAGTTGTCAAAGTTGATGATCTGCTAAGTGAGAACTTGGTAGCTAACTCAGCTAACTCATAACGTCTTTTTCCTTTATTGGTTATAGTGTGCGAAGTCTTAAACATTCCCCATATCTTCCTGAGGTTAAGTTGTTGCCCTTGTGTGACAATTAATTTCCTGTGCGTTTGAGACGGACTTCGCTCTTCGAATCTTTATAAATGGCGTCGAAAAATGATCCGTTTCAATTTCAGGGTGAGTGTCAATCTTCCACTGTGTTATGGAAATGTAGTTGTTTATTTTTGTGAAAAATTTAAACTCACAAGAAGCGATCGTTGACATTTTGCATTAATCCATGTCAACTAACTAGAATTTGACGAAGCTGGCGATCTGTTGGAAGCCAACAGAGATGCAACTACCATCAGCATCGATGATGAAGATGTGAAGCCTAAGCAAAGCACTGCGACTGGTTTCTCCACTGAAGCTGATACTGAGGATCCACTTGCCAATGATGACCAGGCAGAGGTTAGGACAAGCCTTTGAATTTAATATATTTTATTAACTTTTAAGATTTAATTTAATTTTTCCACCAAATCCTTGAATTTAAGCTTCTCTCAGGGCAAAAGAAAAGTCCCTCTTTTTGGTCTTTTGAGTACTACCAAAGGTTCTTTGACATCGAGACCCATCATGTAAGTTTTTTTTTTCTAATGACTTTTTGGCACCATTTTTGCTAGGTCTCATCAGATTCCATATTTAGTGGTTTCTAATATTTCTTTCAGGTAAAGGAAAGGATAATTGGATCAATGATGCCATGGCCTAGAAAGAACTTTATTAATGTCTACCTCCGTAGAAATCCTGATCTCTATGGTTAGCTCTTCATAGTTTTAACAGATATGTCTCAATCAGATTTTTTTTGTATGACACTAGGTGTATTGTTCTTTGATGTTGTATTCTATTGGTAAATGCTATTTTCATGGAAACCCCCAATAAGGAAACAACTTACATGTGTGTAACAACTGCTTTTAGGACCGTTCTGGATTTGCACCACTCTTGTGTTTGCCACCGCCATAAGTGGAAACATATCCAACTTTTTGGCCCACCAAGGCGATCGGGACTACAAATATACCCCAGAGTTTCGAAAAGGTTTGCTCCTCTTCACTCTCATATAGGGCTTTTCAATATGACCAAAATCTCATATCCCGATATGAGACATTTATCGTCCCGATATAAATCACAAAAATTTTACATTTTCTGAAAATTCTGTGAATCTTGGGGAGCTTGACTTGCGTGAATTGTTTCCAGCTGGGCGTCCTTTACCTGGAGTCGAGTGTTTTAACCAATGCATGAAACGATACATTTTTAGACATAAGTTGTAACGGCCGCCGTTTTATTTGTGAGTATTTATTACACGGCGTCTTCTAACGTTTGAATCTATGGTTTATTTTTTTAGCGCCTGACTCCTCTTTTTTGCTTCTCATCCGTAAACACTCTGCATACTCGTTCACGTGATTCAGTTTATTTAAAAAAGTCTCAACAGGATCTTGAGCTTTACTGTGAAAGGTTTATGTGGAAAATAAAAGAGCGGACAAGCGATGGTTTTATCATCGTTGTTGCTAACGACAACGCATACAAACAGGCCAGTAGTGTGGTTATATTAAATATGAGAGAAAGAGAGAACTTTAAGAAATTAATATAGCCACTATAGTGACCATCAAAACCATCAATGATCAAAGCGATGAAAAAAAATTGCCGTAAACAGTTTATTTTGCGACACCACGAAACAAACGATAGCGTAAAATGAAACGATAGACGTTTTTTTATATCGTCACCCGATATATATCGTTATATCGAACAGCCCTACTCTCATACACGTTTACATTAAATATGGGAGGGAAACAGCCATTTCACACTGAGTTTTGATTCTTTATGTTTTCCAGTAACCATTGCTGCAACAATAATCTTCAGCTATGCTTGGTTAGTGCCTCTTGCCGTCTGGGGTTTTCTGCTATGGAGAAACAATAAAATGGTGAACTTGGTGTCATATGCCTTTATGGAGATTGTCTGTGTGTACGGCTATTCTCTTTCAATATATATACCTGCAGTGGTAAGAAATTTTGTTTTTTTGTTTTGTCTTGTGTTTTGTTTATTCATTTTAAAGTAGTAGTAACAAATGAAGCACTATACTAAATTTTAGGCATTTATATAACCCCCTAAAAGCAGATGCATATTTAATTACATGATTTGCTGGTTTCTAGTTTTTTAACTTTATTTTCTAAATCAAGGTTCTGTGGATTCTCCCCTTTAACTGGCTGAGTTGGTGCACCATTGTGGTGGCACTCTGCCTCTCTGGCTCAGTACTGGTTTTGACTTTCTGGCCTGCAGTCAGAGATGACCACCCCAGAGTTATGATAGCATTCCTGTCTGTGATTGTGTTGCTCAACATCCTGCTGGCTGTTGGTTGTAAGGTAAATATGGCTACTTTTGATATTTAATGACAAAATAGTATTTGTGCTAATACATCTATTTCATAACGCTTATCCATCTGGATTTAGATAACAATGATTGACTCTTTCTAATTTATCCTCTGTGATGTCAGCATGGCCTAGTTTTGAACCCACCTCTCCATTCGCCATTCACAGATCCGATCACTTACACTGATATTTTGGCATTTGACTCCTCTGTGGGTTTTTGGGAAACAAATATACTTTATAGTGTCAAGTTGAATCCCTCTGGGGAGATGTGTTTCAGCGGAAACTATGACTACATTACTACATGGTGTGAGAAAGGGCTTCTAGTAAACTTCCTATCATGAATACTGTCCGGTCCTCAGGGATATCATATGTCCCACCACATTGAAGTAATTAGTCTTCAAACTAAGCCATGTCTGAACGCTTAACAAGATGAATGGCTTCCAGAAATCCTGTATTCTTTTCTCTACCCCTGAACATTTGCTTCACACCTACTCACAGTTTGGATTTCGTGCTTACCAGTTTCTCATAACATGTCTTTGCCCTGCCAGTACTCCTTTGCACAAGTTCTTTGACACTTTTTTTTACTCATTTGGGTTTTCTTTTGCAGACCTACTTTTTTACTATTCCAGGGAACAAGACGGTAAAGCCAACAAATTCGACGACATGAAAGACTTGCATTGTCTCAAGGTACCAATAGTGACACAGAAGCTTTTTAAGCTTTTACATATACACTGAAAATCTGATATGTATTTATAATATGTATCTACATGGTGTTTATTTCATTTGTTGTTTGCATATTTACACTCAGTAGTGTCACAAAGGAGGACTTTAATACATTATTGACCCATTTTTGGAGCCTTGGCTCACATGTGTGTCATTTTGACCTACTAAATCTGACACAGGACTTCCTGTACATGATTTTGCCATGCCAAGGCAAGTGTTATCCCCTTTTTGTCTTTTTCTTTTTTTCTTTGAAATTGCAGGCTCTCGTGTTGCCTTATTAGAGAGAATCAAGTTGCTGTGCTGATGAAGTCATGCAACGTCTGAATTTCACCTGAACTCGTACATCCGGTCTTAACACCTTAACCCCTGTATCCTGAGTGCGTGTTTGGATCAGCTGTGTGACATCTGAAAATGCACAATAATAGCAAGCGTGTGGGTTTTGTTTTCTTTTTACGGGTGCTGGATTCTAAACTTTATGCATATAAATGGAGTATGGTTTAAAATAACAAAAAAGGTATATTTTAGTATGACCTTTATACTTAAGTTACATTTTTAAATATTTCTATAACAACACATTTCATAACTGGTGACAGCATCGATGGCATGTATTTTTATATTCCTATAATGGGAAATGAATCATTTGTAAACAGAATTTTCTGTGTAAACAATTATAGATATGGTGTGTTAACCAACGACTAGCGTTATTACACTTGGAGCTGTTGTACGTTACTCTTAAGTTTCTACAAGTCCACCCAACTAATGCCAAAGACCTGTGCTAAACTTTTAAATGGTCATGTAAGTGTTTCTGGAATTAATTTGGTAATGTTTTTGATCGGAAGTGTGGAATTTATTGATTCATGGAGAAAATAAAACATGGTTATTGTGGGAAATGCTGTATTTGAATGTCATTGTTTTATATTTCTAGTTCATTGCAGATCTTTAACACAAACTGAGACAGGTTTCCTTATATTATATAACATAAGTAGTTGCCTAATTGTTTCTTGTCATGCCTGCAGAAAATTGATATCCATCTCAGGTGTCATAGGTCAAAAGTTAATATTAATTAAATACTAAATCTTATATAGTGCTTTTCTACTCAACTTGAGCACTCAGAGCACTTTATGCAACATATCTAATTCACACATTCATACAAGCACTTTTTTGTATGTCTAAGTGCTTTCTATCTAACAGTCATACTCTGAACTCTGGGTGGTTGCATTGGATGAGTGCTTAAAATACTTCATGTGATTCTTCATTTTAGGCAGCCTTGAGTCACCCCGGCTTTCACGTCCATGTGCAACGTGACTCATTTCTTTGGGTTTCTAACTACTTTGTTTTCCAATACATGTCAACAATTGGAAATTTTAAATATTTAAAGAAGAGATTGTAACTAATAGGTATAAGATGAACATTTCAAAGAGATTAACTTTAAAAGTGAGCTGCTGCTACCGTTTTCCAGCTCATCCATCTAAACTGTCACGTGGTCGAGCAAACCGATAGAATCTATCGTATCACTGTTTAGATTCGCAGATCACCCGCAGTGGAAAATCTCACAGTATATATCCAAAGCTGACCACATGCAGGCACACGGTGTGTGGTCAGCACTTTACATTCAGTGAACCTACGTAAAGACTATGCTTAATATTTCCACTAATTAAGTAGAGCTACTTTTTTTTTGATTAATTAACAAAACAGAAAAAAGTGTCACTTGAACCTTTGTCAAAGGGATGGTGGCGTCCTAATTAATGGTCATTCTAGCCCCAGCTTTGAGTTACACAGGAGCTGCCTGTCAAACAGGTAACCCTATTGGAGGAATGTCACCTGCCTCAGTCTCAGAAGTCTAGACAGCTGCACATACTTGTAGATTTATCAGCACAACACAGGAGGACTTGATTTGCTATTTGTTCTCATTTTTGGGGAATGCCTTTTAATTATTTTTTATAGCTATAGACATATATATTGTGACTTGAAGACCTTTCCATAGGATGGCCACTTCAAATGGCAAAGGTGAAAAAGTGTCCAAATTTGAGATGCTGAAACTTTTGGAGAAATGCAGGAAAGAAAGGGACGATGCCATGCACAAAGAAAGCGTTCTCAGAGAGAAGCTCAGGCAGTATGAGTCAAGGATGCGTTCAACAGAGGCTATGAAACAGAAACTGAAGACTCTGGCTCTGGACAACAGGGAGCTGAGGAAACAGGTGAAGGCTCTTCGTACTGAAATTGGACTTGAGTGCAGCCCTAAGTTCAATGGAAAGACCACCAAGGACATAATCAATGACTTGCATGAAAAAGAACGTGAGTGCAACTCCCTGGTGGAAAAGGCTGGAAAACTGAGTCTGACCATTGATGGCTTGACCTCAGAGTTGGCAAATACAGTCACCTCTAAAACACTTTTAGAGGATCAAGTACAGTCATTGCAGCAAAATCTCAAGGATATGACAAATAACCAGCGTCGTCTGCTTAAGTTGTGGGAAGACAAGAAGTCCCAGAGGGAACAGCTTGCCCTCCCTGCAATAATACAGAAACCTGGACTGAAGCCACCCGTCCATAAAGCAGTTCAAACCGACATGTCCATCAGTTCCACTCAAAAGCTTCCAGCCAATGCTTTTGAGATAAAGCCATTTTCACGGGACAGTGACAAAAATACTGTTTTGGATAAACACAGTTTCCCATCTTACGGAAACGGCTATAGTCACGGAAAGAAAGCTTTCGTGCATGATGAAGCTAAAGGAATACAGAACTGACTTCACTGACAGCTACTGACTCTGCACTTGAGATGGCAACTAATTACTGGACTAATGTTACATAATGACAGAGTAAAATGAGACACAACTTTAAAGCTGATTTATGTTCTTGTGTAATTCCATCTTGTGACAATGTTGTTTTAATAGCATTTGCATAATTTAAACGTAACCTGATTTTTAGGATCGGTGAAAGTCGACCTTTCAGGAAAACATTTGTAAGCTGAGCTTAATGTAATGATGAAATTTAACGTAGTGTACGTGTGCCAGTCAGTGAGAATTTATATGTACAATCTTTAGTTCAAGACCCAACGTTAAATCCATATACTGAATGAATATGAAACGCTGGCAGCAGGCAGGAAGATGGACAGCTTTTAATCGGGGTCCTTCAGAGGTCCTTTGAATGCATGTGGCGCGATATGGGAAACTGAGGCGTAAATAGTTTTGATTGTCGTTTTCTTCTCAAAGAGAGGCATAAATTTATCTAAACAACATGTTTTCTGCAGAGCAGAGTTGCTGGTTTATCCGCAAGGTGAGTGTTTTTCTTCTGACACCAGATGACTATTTAGAAAGTGATTTTTCGTGTCTCCTAGCTTGCTAAACTTAGATCTGTTTATGCTAGCTTCTTTGAATGCAGCTAATGAACGTCTTCAGATTTTATTTATTTACAATTATCTTTAAAAGTGTTTACAGAAAGTTGAGAAACCGAGGTGCGAATGGAGGCTATTCAAATAAAAGAAAGAAACGCGAGCAAAGTAAAAGGGGAAAAAAGTGTCTTTACAAATATGAAGTTAGTAACAACTATGCAGATATGTAAGTTTCACACGTTAAACCCGATCGATAAATAGCAACTTGAGTATAGCGTGTTTTCTGGTAGCAAAAACAATAAGGAAAATTAACTTAGTGATTATTTGTATTATTTGACTGAAATATGAAAATATTTGATTCACGCATGTTGTAAACATTAACGATAGGCATCTGGGGGCTCACACTGAAAGTATATAGGCCTCCGTAGTTTCTACCAAACAATGACAGAAAAAGAATTGCTGATGTTGAATTGAAATGTTTTCACTTATTTTAAATTTATGTTACATTGAATGAAGTGAAGATGTCGTGCCAAAAATTGACTCATGTTTCTCTTTCTTTTTTCTTTTAAATTTATTTATTTATTGTAATGTCTGATATCTTGTTTTTATTGGAAAATAGGCTGTACTCAATAGGATTTATGAAGTCGTTATATATATGATAGAGAAATGACCTGTTTTTCATGTATCCTAATGACTCTGACTTATTGTACCTACAATGTGTTCTAGATTATAATCAATCCATTTTTTTTTTTGCCACCTAAATATATTTATAGAGCTGTTATGTTACGTTTGTTGCATTTATCCGTCCCCCTCTTGACCGGATCTGGCTTGAAAAGGAAAAGTTTAATGTCAGTAATTTTTTATTTTTTATTTTAGCTGGGGAAAATAAAGAATATATAAAGTGACTTTGACCAAAAATGATTTCAGCTTCTATCTTGTGGTAGGAATATTGTTTCCTATTCAAACTGATTTGATGTCTTTCATGTAAGATATGTCTGACAGATTATTGGACAATAAGTCATCTACTACAGTTTAAAGCGCTTTGGATGCCTTGTTTATAATGGAGCACTGTAACGAAAAATAATTTCCCCTAGGGATCAGTAAAGTATTCTGATTCTGATTGAAAAGCGCTATATAAATGCAATCCATTATTAAATATGAGTAACCTTTTTTTTTGGAAGTTACCAGTAATCACTTTTACCCCTAATGTAACAGTCATTCAAAACCACTTTTAAGTTCATACCTACCTTTTCCTATAAAACAAGCCTAAAGGGAAAAACAAACAAACAAAAACAAACCAGCTACCTATATTCAACAGAAGCCACTTCATTGCATTATTATCAAGACAAAAAACTAAATTTTGAACATAACACCTTTAACGAGGCATTAACAGTTCCACATGGGTATCACTCTTTGAGAAAATTGAATTGCAATGCAATATTGGGAATGTTTGCATCTTGGTTTCAGAATTTTACACCCCAGAAGATATTGTTTTAAATTACATGCTCTCTGGAGATTTCCTTTACAACCCGATTAGCACAGAACACGTTCTGTACAGGAATGTGAAATTTAAGTAAGACAATTTAAAAAAAGAAAAAAAAGACCTTTTCATATGGATTCAAATTTCTTTTTTTTTTTATAGCGTTGAATCAAGTGGTTATTCTTTCCCAATACTTGGTGATCAATAATAATGATGATAATAATAATAATAATAATAATAATAGTAATAATACATTTTATTTGAGGCCACCTTTCAGAAACCCAAGGTCACCTTACCAAAGAGAAAAATTATTAGAAGGAGTAATAGTCATAAAATAAGTAAAAATTGCAAAACAGAACTTGACAACAGATAAAATCAGCACTAAAGCGAATAAGCCAGTTTGAACAGATGTGTTTTGAGCTGTGACTTAAATGCGGGAAGAGAGTCTATATTTCTTATGGTTGGAGGAAGAGAGTCCCAGAGCCAAGGAACAAAGCCACCACTAAAGGCTCTGTTCTCCATAAGACATGCGGGCGGAACAGTAAGATGAATAGCAGATGAGGATCTGAGAGGGCGGGAAAGTGGTGATGTGAAGCGGGTCACACAAATAGGAAGGAGCAGATTTATGGATACACTTGTATGTGAAAAGTAAGATTTTAAAGTTTATCCTGGCTTCTATGGCTAACCAGTGAAGCTGCTGAAGAACTGGGGTAATATGAGCACTTGACGGAATACGAGTTATGACCCGAGCTGCAGAATTTTGAAGAAGTTGGAGTTGATGAAGGGACCTTTTAGGGAGACCAAATAAGAGGGAATTGCAGTAATCAATATGAGACGTAATAAGACTATGGACAAGGATGGGCTATATAATGTCTATAATGTAATAATGACTGCTCTGTTCAGGTAATTTGTTGGAGAGCTGCAGCCAGTATTGCTTGGGCTGTACTGTTGTTGCCACCCAGCACAGCAATTTTTGTGTTCCTCAGCAAGTTCAGTGTTCTCCACCCCATCCAGACCATATCAGGTGAGTCACCACGCTGCATTTTAAGATTACTCAGAGCTGAGTATGAAGCTTACCGTACACTTTTTTTTTTTTTAAATTCCAGAATGCTTCTCCATGCTAACAAGTGCAACTGCCATCTTCTCTTTCATCCTGCTGTGTGGAGTGATCATCATGGTTGGTTTCTTGAACTTTGAGTATTACACAGGTGAGTCACAGAGCACTGCAAAACTTCCCTAAAGATTTTCTTTACTACTAACATGTTACGTGGATAGATCATATGTAAATTTTCATTAGTGAAGCTGGAATTAATGTCACCAGTTCAGTGTTATGGTAGAGCTTATAATAAATAAAATGCTATCATTAGTTTAACAGAATTAAGTAATTTGATTGTGGACTAATGTTGTCTGTTAAATAGGGAATAGTTTGTTGAATGACACCACAACATGAAAAACACACGATCCTTCTCCCTTGGATAAAAAGATTAGTGTTATGTTTTTCTTTAAATTGTTTAATAAAACAAAATGAAAGTAAAATGAGTTAAGTTTTACTTTCTTTTCAGGACAACTAAAATATCTGATTGTTTAGTACTGGTTCAACACATCCATGGGGCCAGCTATTACTTTAATAAGCTTTACTCAGGTTTTAAATGATAAGATAATATAATGGGTACTCCACTAAAAAATTGTCTATTATGTAACTTCTTTGTTGTTACTGTTTTTTTCTTTCAGTCATTCCAACTATTGCATGCTCGAAAATCGCGCTCTTTGGTCAGCTTCTCCACCCTCGACAGCTTGTCAACTCCCTGGTCCACTGTATCATGGGAATGATTGTAGCTTGGTGTTCTGCCGTTACCATTGGATTTAGATACGAAACTCTTGGCCACCCGTGTGCGCAGACCGATGGGTAAGTGACTACCACACTAAGCTTTGGTGGTGAGCTTTAAACGTTTCTTCCACAGTTTAACTGCCTTCATTTATTTGCAACCCTGACAGTTATCATCAGATGTGTCTGAATGAATATCATCTCATCCTTCTGCTGGGTGGAGCTTTTGTTGGATTCTCTCACAGTCTGCTGGGTGTGATCCACAACATGAACTATGTCTCCTTCCATACTGTTCAGGTAAACAGTGGACTTTAAAATGTTCTTTGTTTATCTGTGATTCTGCCTCACATGTGACAGTGAATCAAAATTAGTATCCTGACTGCGAATAGCTCCAACATATTTTTCTGAGACAAAACAAGTAAATGAGGTGGCTGTAGCTCAGGAGGTAGAGCTAGTCACCTACTGATCCGAACGTTGGAGGTTCGATCCCTGGCTCCTCCAGTCTGCATGCCAAGCATCCTTGGGCAAGATACTAACCCCAAGTTGCTCTCCGATGCATCCATCGGAGTATGAATGTGTGTGAATGTGATTAGATGGCGCTCAGTTTGGGGTCAGTGCTTGTGAGAATGGGTGTGACTTGGTGAATGTGGCATGTTGTATAGAGCGCTTTGAGTACTCCTGGAGAGTAGAAAAGCGCTATACGAGAATCAGTCCATTTACCATTAAATCTCCCCCCCCAAAAAAATAAAATAAATAAATTTAAAAAAAGTTGCAGCTGTCTAGTGTGAGTTAATATTTGTTGTTCATGTTCACTTATTATTTCCCCAGCAATACAAATACCTTCGCTTCAAGGGATGTCTTCCTTTGGTGGTTAGGTGCAGTGCCACTCAGGCACTTTACTCTGTCAGGAACTTCATCGTTGTTTATTACTTTTTGGGTAAGTAACTTTCTTATTAATTAAAATGCCATTAATGAAGCTTCACCCGCTCTATCTCTCTATCTATCTCTATATACAGTGGCTTGCAAAAGTATTCGGCCCCCGTGAACTTTTCCACATTTTGTCACATTACAGCCACAAACATGAATCAATTTTATTGGAATTCCACGTGAAAGACCAACACAAAGTGGTGTACACGTGAGAAGTGGAACAAAAAATCATACATGATTCCAAACATTTTTTTACAAATAAATAACTGAAAAGTGGTGTGTGTGTAATTATTCAGCCCCCTGAGTCAATACTTTGTAGAACCACCTTTTGCTGCAATTACAGCTGCCAGTCTTTTAGGGTCTGTCTCTACCAGCTTTGCACATCTAGAGACTGAAATCTTTGCCCATTCTTCTTTGCAAAACAGCTCCAGCTCAGTCAGATTAGATGGACAGCGTTTGTAAACAGCAGTTTTCAGATCTTGCCACAGATTCTCGATTGGATTTAGATCTGGACTTTGACTGGGCCAGTCTAACACATGGATATGTTTTGTTTTAAACCATTCCATTGTTGCCCTGGCTTCATGTTTAGGGTCGTTGTCCTGCTGGAAGGTGAACCTCCGCCCCAGTCTCAAGTCTTTTGTGGACTCCAAGAGGTTTTCTTCCAAGATTGCTCTGTATTTGGCTCCATCCATCTTCCCATCAACTCTGACCAGCTTCCCTGTCCCTGCTGAAGAGAAGAACCCCCAGAGCATGATGCTGCCACCACCATATTTGACAGTGGGGATGGTGTGTTCAGAGTGATGTGCAGTGTTAGTTTTCCGCCACACATAGCGTTTTGCATTTTGGCCAAAAAGTTCCATTTTGGTCTCATCTGACCAGAGCAGCTTCTTCCACATGTTTGCTGTGTTCCCCACATGGCTCGTGGCAAACTGCAAACGGGACTTCTTATGGTTTTCTGTTACCAATGGCTTTCTTCTTGCCACTCTTCCATAAAGGCCAACTTTGTGCAGTGCACGACTAATAGTTGTCCTATGGACAGATTCCCCCACCTGAGCTGTAGATCTCTGCAGCTCGTCCAGAGTCACCATGGGCCTCTTGGCTGCATTTCTGATCAGCGCTCTCCTTGTTTGGCCTGTGAGTTTAGATGGACGGCCTTGTCTTGGTCGGTTTACAGTTGTGCCATACTGCTTCTATTTCTCTGAGTGATCGCTTGAACAGTGCTCTGTGGGATGGTCAAGGCTTGGGAAATCTTTTTGTAGCCTAAACCTGCTTTAAATTTCTCAATAACTTTATCCCTGACCTGTCTGGTGTCTAAATCCAATCGAGAATCTGTGGCAATATCTGAAAACTGCTGGTCACAAACACTGTCCATCTAATCTGACTGAGCTGGAGCTGTTTTGCAAAGAAGAATGGGCAAGGATTTCAGCCTCTAGATGTGCAAAGCTGGTAGACACATACCCTAAAAGACTGGCAGCTGTAATTGCAGCAAAAGGTGGTTCTACAAAGTATTGACTCAGGGGGCTGAATAATTACACACACACCACTATAGATAGTGTTGTGGAAATTTTAATTACCAAAGCCTGCAGACCAGATGAGTTGTAACAACACCTTTATTTCAGCTATCTCATGCATAAGGAGGGCCGTCAGTCAGGGGGCACTGAAAGTCGTCTCTGACAATGAACAGTTCAGGTCTTTTTTTTATACACGGTCACAGAACAAAAGGCTTTTACAGTTGCAGTTCACACCTTGGCTCTAAACAGACAGACTCTCTATCACCTGTGTGAATCTCCCCCACTCTGGGGTCAAGCCTTCCTGTGTGAGCTTCCGCATCCTGGGAGACATTCACCAGTTTCTCACCGCCTGTCCCAGCGTGAATGAGGTGTGAACCAGACATACTAAACTAAGTAACATGAAAGCAAGACAATACATTACAGGACAATGCACTAAAGAGAAATCCCACAACAATAGATACATAGATATAGATTGTCTGGATTTTGGCTTTCTCTGCACAGCATACTGGAAGTGTTCATTATTTAAATTTAATATCAACAGGGCACATTCCAAGAACATGGATCTGTAAAACACTGAATCTTCACTTGGGCAGGTTAGTGTTAGATCATATATGATTTATTGAAAATACTTAGCAATGCTTTTTGCCTGATCAGTAGCTCGCCTCGTGCAAAACACTGCATTATCATAGTTATGTGTGATCTACCCTTCCAGCTCTGCCCACCCTCTTGACAGCATAGCTGGATTGCTGGACCTCTCCCTCCTCTACCACCTCTGGATCAGTGCCACCTTTCTCCTCTTCACTTGGTACATCATGCTGCTGCTCTTTAGGATTTTTCTCACTGAGGTATGTATCCGTTAAAGGCAAAATTTAGATCTGTAAATATTTTAAAACCAATTGTGCTGTTCAGTATATTAAGTATCCTTAACAAGTCATCGAGGGAAGGTTGTTTCTTCCTGTTTTAATACTGTGATAATTACATTTCCTAAATAAAATAAATCCTATCTTGAGTCCAGTTCCTCTAGGAACTATTGACCTATTTCAAAATTGCCATTTATTTACAAACTGTTTTTTTTTGTTTTTTGTTTTTAAGTTGTCAATTTAGGTGTGTGTGTGTGTGTCGTGTTATATATCCTTCTGTCATACAGAGGTTCTGCTGACAGTTTCAAAATGATTTTGGTCAGTGGAAAACAGTACATAGTAACCACAATAACGTCCATAATCAAGACTACACAACTTCTATTTATATTTTTAATAACTTGGAAACACTAGGGGGCAGCAGTGTCAAGGCAATGGGTTTCTAAGGACTGAAAAGCATCTTGACTACAGTTTCTAATGAAAGATAGTAAATAAATAATAAAATGAAATTAAACATAATACATTTCTTCTGTAGGGGTACAGTTTTCCTGTGCAGTCATCTTTTACTGAGGATGCAGACCATTGCCTTCCTAAAGTACTGACTGAAAAGCAGCCAATGCTATTAAAAGTAGGTACAAAACACATTTATATTCTTGCAAACATATCCATTTTAGGTTAAACCCCACTGATCACCAAATTCTGGTGCTCTCTTTTCCCCAATTTCAGTTCCTAGCTTTGCAGGACTTGGCTCTGTTGTCTCAGCATTCTCCATTACGACGGTGTGAAGTCTTCAGTCTGAGTCAACCAGGTCTGATCATAGTTTCTTTGCGCAAAAGAAGTTTTTATTATTTCTATTGCTGTATAGCCCATTCTTCTGATTGTGACATCAGGCATATAATATGTAGATTTTGGTAGTCAACTGTCAAGCTCCTTCTGACCTCACGTCAAACCTCAAGTTAAATCAATCACAAACATCAAACATGCAAGGCAGGAGCCACAGTTCTTTTGTAAGAATTAATCTTGACGCATGTCAGATATTCAGATTGTGCTTTTATCTAGCTCAGAATGTATTTCTTATTTATTTATTCCCAGGTGGACATCCTCATAACTGGAATGCTATCAGTAAAGAGTGCCTCTCTCTGCTGGCTGATCTTACCCAGAGACTTGTAGCCTATCATGACACTGTAGCAACCAATGGCAGGGCCAAATCACTGTCAAGTGGGAGTGAAAGGAAGACCTCTTCTGAAACATCAGGTACATTAGTATCACAGAAGTGGCTGTCCATGTCAGCCAACTGTATAACAGTATATTAACATAGTGTGAGTGTGTTTATGGCATGTATGTATATTTTAATTTTTTTGTAATCCTAACCTCAGGTACAGAAGATTTCATGAGTCCAAGGCCTACCGCTTTTATGAAAACTCCAGCTTCAGTCTTCGCTCGGTCCATTGCTGGAGGCCAGCAGAGCCCTCTAACAGCCCCATTCACCCCTGATCTGGACAGCCCCTTTATGTCTCCTGCACTGCGGCGTCTTGCTGCTCCTGTGGAGCAAGGCTCACCTTGGTATGGCACAGTGCAGAGCCCCCACATCATGAGGCGAGTGCCCAAACTCTGGTCCACATCCACAGGTGAGTAGGGAATAATGGGAGCCGTCAGGTCATTCAGATCGTACAACTGCAATAAAATGCAATGTTAGACAAAAGAGAGAATGTGTTGACTGGTACAGTTCCCCCTTTTTTTTTTTTTTTTTTTTTTTTTTTTTTTATGATGGCATATTTGGGGGCAATGAAGTGATACTTTTTTTACTTTGGTTGGTCTGATAGGTTGATCCATTTTTGGGTACATTATAAGCTTTATGCTTCTGTTGATACAGATTCCCAGGTTAATGGCAGTCCCCCGCCATCACCAGCTTCAGTTCCCAGTGACAAGCAGGAACCCTCCAAACCAAGTTTTCTGGCTCAGTTCCTCCAGAACAGAAGAGAACAGGTACTAAAACCTTGTCTCAAAGCCAAATGATAATGTGTTTTTGGTCCTGCACTGTGCTTCTGACGTAAGGCTTTTCACACTTATTAATTCAGGAATAATATAACAGGAGTCAAGTGCTGTGGTCTACTTCATCCAGCTTTTCTAGTTTTCCAAAAACCTACAGTCAGGGGTGGACAGATGTGAAAATTAACAGGGATATCACAAATTCAGATGTAAGGTTCTGGGAAATGTGCCAAATCGGGAGCTTGTTTATGGTTATTGTTAGAAGTACTGCTTTTACTACAGGGTCTCGACCCAGGGTTAAGTGTGAAAAGCTAGTATTTGTGTTAGTCTGTCTTTTTTTTTTTTTCTCTTTTTAAACTTTATCACCAAAACACTTCTACATTTAATTGTCTCATTTAGGTTAAAAATTTCTTGGCAAAGCGAGTGCTGATAGTGTATTTGTTTAACAAGGTAAGAACGTGTGGCATGTGCATGCTGTCTCCCTTAAACTTCTCCACACTGGGGGGCTCTGGCATGCTCTTATCTGGCTTGGTAGATTTTTGTCTTTTTTTTTTTGTCTTTTTTTTTAATTTTTTAACAAATCTAGCGTTCTCGTGTAGTAGCCATTACTAATTTATCTCCTGGTTCTGGACCTAATGGTGGAGGCATTACTAATGCATCTCTTTTCTATCCAACCTGCTCTTCCAGTGAGCATACTAATTACCTTTAGAGCTTGAATTAAGGGGTCATGTGACAATCAGTTTAGTGCTTGGAGTATATGCTTAGAGATTTCCTTTTTCTGATCACACAGTGAGATTATGAGAGAAAAATCTCACTACTTGCATTTCCCTGCTTCCTCTGTGTAGAAACTAATGTGGTTAGTCTACTTTCTGAGGTTTATGTATATTTCTTTTAACCACACTTGCATGCTGTAGTGCTGTAGTGTAGTCACACTAAGTGTGCCCCACTAACAACTTCCTAATTTAGCATTGTGAGTCTGCATCTGTTAATTTAAAGGGAAAAAAATCCTGCTAGCTAACATTGTGTGTTGCAGCTCCCAGAAGCCTCGAGTCAGGCTCTCTTTGCTGACAGTCAGGCCCACATCTGGGCTTTGGAAGGTAGGAAGAAACTGTGAATACTTACATTTGATTTGAATTCAATTTCCATCCCGCATATTAATTTATTTTCTTTGATTTCCTTCCATTACAGGGCTCTCTTACCTTGTTCAAGCCTCATTCTCTGAAGATCAGTTTGGGGTTGTGCAGACTACATTACCCAGCATTCTCAGCTGCATGCTGGTCTTACAAGAGGTAAATTACAGTATATTATTTTACCTATTCTGGATATACTTGCTGGAGATTTTCTTGTGCTCCCTTAAAGTAGAAACAGAAGAACAGTAGAAACAACTGTCCTAATGGCTTTTCCATTAGGATAAGGAGACCATTTTTAATAGGGCCCAGTTCACTATAACGCAGGTTGATTAAGCACAATGACCATTTTAAGTAGAACATGTACAGGACAGTTGTACTTCTCGTCTGCAGGCTGTCGATCGACACTTCAAGCTGCCCCATGCCTCCAGTAAGCCTGTCAGGTTGACCAGCAGCATGGGAGACTCAACATACAAAACTCTGCGCTTTGCTCTCAGGGCCACACTAAAGACTGCCATCTACAGGATAACAACCACATTTGGTGATCACTTAAAGTAAGGCTGCTTACAATTTAAAATCTGAGTAGTATTTTGTGTGATTAAGAAAGAAAACTGCATGCTGAGTATTATAACCCTTGGTGTTTTTGTTTGATCCTCAGTGCTGTTCAGCTGTCTGCAGAGCATCAGAAAAGATTGCAGCAGTTTCTGGAGTACAAGGAGTAATGTATTTGACGCTGGCCGTGCCTTGAGATTCTTATCGATGCATAAAGATGTCAACAAATGAAAGGCCATGATAGTGCCTCTTTTAATATTTATGTCTGCACTATACCGTGGGATTATATTTGATGGTTGAGATCACATCTCTCACATGCAGGAAGGAGCAGGAAGCCAAACAGACTGAAACGGGTTGAAGGACTGTTATCTCTTGTGTTTAGGAGATATTAATCTACCCTACAGTAAAAGAGGCTCAAAATAAATAAATAAAATTTTTTCCTCACAAGGAAATGTGAGAAATTCATATATGACGTTTGTTGATTGGGATGAGTTACAAAGGGCTCTCTGTGCATCATCATCTTTGGATTTCATATTTCAGCTGCTGTCCTCTTGAGTAATATTTTTGGTGTTGAAAAGAGATGGCACGAGGGCTAACGAAGAAGCTGTCTTTGTTTTGTAATGAGCTTTTTTTTTTTTTTTGCTTCACGGGTGTCTGAAATGGATCCTAAAAATGCATTTTCATAGATCTGGTTTTGAGTCTAATCACCTGCCTAGAAGAACTGATCATCTGTCTGCATCAGCTCAGCAAAATACATTTTCAAATTAGACACCAGCTTTTGTACATGTTACCAGTTTGTATGATTTTTTTTGATTTTTTTTTCATGATAAATGACGTTATCATATGAGAGGAACAGGTTTGGTGCAGCAGGTTTTAAGCCTGGATAAATGTTGTCACTGCCAGAATTTAAGTTTCTGCTCAAAAAACAGTTTGAATAAAAACACGTGAAGATCCTTTCTCTGGTTTGGAGAAATGCGTGCTTGTCACAGGCGTAAGACGGAGAAGGCAATTGAAAGGAAAGACCATGCCAAAGTTGTCAGATATATGATGAACAAAAAGTGTAGGAGTGGAGACTTCAATCAATGCTTTCTGCTCAGGGCTACTTACCTCAGTACTGAACCCTCACACCAGAATCCCAAATTATACATTAGACAGCAGAGGGCTTTGATTGTTGTGCAAACTGGCTACATATGGAAGAAAAATGCAATTCCATTAATTAAACTGGAGGAATTGTGATTCTCTTTGTAGGAGAAACCTATAAACAATAACTGAGCTCTATTAGAATACAGCCTAAACAGCATGAAACCTGAGACTGCAGCAGCTAAATGGAATTCAGCAATTATAATAACATATAATAATAATAATAACAGATTACAATTACAGATGGAAATCAGCAGTCTCGCAAGCAACTGTATATACACTCACCTACCACTGCCTCAGTTTTTCATGGCATAGATTAAACGAGGTGCTGGAAACATTCCTTAGTTGCTGCAAATCTCCGGCTAAATGACAGGCACTGACCACCCCCCTAAAATTTGCTAGCTCCCCCCCCCCTCCTCTGGCAACACTGTCTATGTTGGTACTAATTTTAATAAACTTGAGTACAAAAGAGAGGAAGACACGCTACAATCAATCTATGAAAACAGGTTTTTATGGATTAAAAATTATATTTGGTTTTCATATGTATGTATTTTCAGTGATATCAACTTTAATAACAGGAAATTAAGTAGACAGAATTATTTTCTTTCTCTTGTTTTGCTATCTGTTTTAAGTATATTTGACAACAGCATAAGAAAACTGGAAATTCTGTTATTGCTGTGCTACCCCAATATTTTTAGTGGCCACCCCTATGAAAAAGTTCTGGAGGCAGCCCTGGTCCGTAGCTGGGAATCTCATCAATGTAGAAAAAAATCATGAAGAAAAGAGGATATCTTAGGAGTCTGAAAGATCTTTGAGTCAGCAAATATGGTCTAGGTCCTCACTTTGTCTTCCTACAACAACAAAAAACACATCTAATATGTTTGGAAAAGTTGTGTTTAAAAGAAATTCTCTGTTTAACATAAATTTTTCAAAGGCAGGCTTATAATTCTGTCCTCTGTGCATCTTATTTTTTGCAAACTGTTTAAGATTCATTATCAGTTACAATTTTTCATATTTTAGCAACATTAATGGCAATTTAAAAATCAATCTGTTAATAAACAGCATGATATTCATGATTGTACTACAATCATGTTTTATGCCCTTCTAAAATCTATGGAGCCATGGACCAATTTACCTGAATATGAGAGTCAAAGTGATGATATTTTAGATTGTCTGTGTTATTTTCATATTTGACCGAGCATCAATGAAGTGGATGAGTACATCATTAGAAATTAGTAAACCTTAGCAGTGAACATTTAAATGAGACAGTTTAAAAAAAGAGCAATAGTGATTGAAACATTCAAAACCTAAACAGGTCTCTGTGTGTCTTTGCTGGGTTCACAAAGCTGGTGTACAGCCCCACTGTTTTTTTTAATCACCCTCCTTTACAACCACCAGTTTGCTACCACAAGACACACAAGAAAGGTCTCTGCAAATCCAATGACAACATTTTAAACACACACAATAGGGCAAGCAAGTGTTTTAACAAATGCAAAAGAATGAGACCATAAAATGACAACATCAAGAGCACTGTTTTTGTTTATTGCACGAATCGTACTTATTTCCAACTGAACTGGTAGAACGCAATATTAGGCAGTGGTGGGGAAAAAACTGTTCATCAAAAGCTGTAATATGTATACAAGATACCCAAAATAGCCAGTGGGAACATCTGGATAGAACTGTCTCAAATCATGGATTGATATCTAGAAAGGAAACACTGCTTTTTGTTTCTCTGGGAAGAAAAAAAGAAAAAGTCAATACTTGAAATGATAGCAGTTCTGTTTATAACAGATGTCATAAGAAGAGGAAAAAAAAACAGAAAATGGTCATGTCAAGACATGTTTTTCTCTGGATTTAAAAGTATTTTGTCCTCATATAGAATATAAACCTCTGGATCATTACCAATCAAATGTTCTGACATTTTTTTCTGAAGTCGAACAGCATTTGCTAAAGTCTTTTTTTTTCTTTTTTCTTTTTTTACAGTTTTAATATATATTTATATATATACATATAAATTCAACTAACTACAGTTCTCATAGAAAATGAGAAAAGCTGGACTTTTTTCGCTCTCACACAACAAATGACTGGCAAGCATACTGACTCTGCTCCTCCCCCCCATCCTCATCTTTGAGCTGCTGTCAACACAGCACAGAGACAGGAGTGATGTGCTGGCTGCTAACACCTGACCTGGCTCAGGTGGAATTCATTTTAAACCTTTTCTTTTGTTGTTGTTCTTGCCATAAGCTCGATGATACATTGGTCAGGCTTATTAAATATACTAAATGTGAAGCTAACACCATCAGGTACTTAGCATTGTTTTATACAAAGGGGATGCAACCCAGGGATGTGGCTAGGCTGGGTCTGTCCAGAGATAATCAAACCAACTAATAAGCACTAAGTTATAACACTGTATGTCAATTTTTTAAGCCAAATCTCAAAGCCTAGAAAACTTCCTTTCTGGTTACTCTCCACCATCCTCAGTGACAATTAAGATTGTCATACAGCTTAAACAAACATAAAATGTGATAAGTGGAGAGATTCAAATGTGCTGCTATGTGGACTGAACCAGGCTAGCCATTTCTCCCTTGTTCAAGATTCATGGCAAGAAAATGAAAGTTAATGTCCAAATTTCTTTAAGGAACCACATAAACATCTGCAGCCCTTTATCACTCCCATCTCTATTGGCTCTTAGGCAGTGTTTCAACTGCAATTAATCCAGGTCGTTTCTGGCTCTTTAAAATGACAAATTCCCCAACAGAGCCCCAAATCAGTCCTTAATTCCTACACATATGCTGAACACCTTCTACCTCTCAATTTCTGTGATCACTGAGAGGCGAACTAAATAGAGACTGAGGGAGGAAGAGGAAGAAAGAGGTGAGGAAAGGCTGGTCAAAACAAAGGAAACCACCTCTTCTCAAGTCATGAAACACTTAAGTGCAAAACACCCCCGTCTCAGAAAAAAAAAAACATTAAAAAAAAAAAAAAAAAACCTAAACTGGATTTTCCTATCACACACTCAGTGCACATTTTGTCTGTCTCTCAAACTAAAGCATCCCTGATTCAAAGTGCACTCAGTAGTGATGGGGGCAGATGATGGAAGGAGGAGAGGAGGGAGTGGCTGAGGGCAGCATGTAGGATAATGCAGCACGTAGAGAGTTAGTACTTCTCTGGGAGCAAACAAGTGATAGATGCAATCAGCTGTTTGAGCTAACAGCCTAAGAATCAGTATGATACTGGGAGCGGGGGCCGCTGGGCTCTCCCTCAAAGTTCAAATCTTAAAGGAAGTCACATTTAGGGGATGGCTTGAATGTATAAACCCCTCCTCAACACAGAAAAGTCAAAAGCAAGAGGTGTGTTACTAAGAGAAAGGGGATTGTGTGCTGGTGATGTATAGCTTACTACAGGTTGCCTAAAGCTGGATGTATATGTTGCCATATACACACAGTACATCATTCTGGGCCTAGACAGAGCATTTAATTGATGTATGGACAGCCAAGGACCTCCAAATGGTTCATAGGGGTGTAAAAGCAGTTACTAACCTCACCTCTTTGAAAAAGTCTCAAAAAAACAAAACTAGAAAGGGATTCTGGAAGTGTGTCTGTAGTTGCCATATGCACACTCGTAACTGCTGAGAAACCTGGTGCTAAGCATCTCTGTCACTATCACTCTGCTTCAACAGTATGTTTAAGTAAATGTGTGTTTATCTGTGTTTGTGTGTTAAAAAAGTCTGTGGCTCGTCAGTGTTTGAATGTGCCAGTGTGTCAATAGTGCTTGCCTATGTGCATCAATTCAAGGGCAATAAAGTGTGTTTATGTATGTGTGTGTGTTTATGTATGTGTGTGTGTGTGTTTATGTATGTGTGTGGCTCATGATGACATGCACTGGACGTGATCTGGACCTCCGTCCTCTTCATCTGAGGAATCTGGAGAACTCCAAGAATCATCTGTGTCTGCATCTGCACCCTCACGGCGGGCCTGGATTTGAGCCAGAGAAAAGTGACAATGAGCAAGTTAAATGAGTCACATGCAAACATCCTAGGGCTGTGCGATATGACCAAAATCTCATATCCCGATATAAGAATTCCATCGTCCCGATAACAATATAAATCACAAAAATTTAACATTTCCTGTAAATTCTGTGAATCTCAGGCAATTCGACTTGCGTGAAGTGTTTCCAGCTGCGCGTCCTTCAACCGGAGTCGAGTGTTTTAACCGATGCATGAAACTATACATTTTTAGACATAAGTTGTATTTATTACACGGCGTGCTGCGGGTTGCCTGTTCTAACGTTTGAGTCTAAGGTTTATTTTTTAGCACCTGGCGGCT